ATTTCACCTTCATAATTGGGGTCAATTACCCCAGGACTTATCATAAGTCCTTTTAGAGTAGAAGAACTGCGTCCTAATAATAAGCCTACTGTTCCTTGGGAAAGAGGTCCTTTTACCTCTGTGGGAATGATTTGAACTCCCATCTTTGGAGTTAGTACTGCTCTGGCAGAGGCGAAGATGTCCAACCCTACACTCCCTCTGGTTTGTCTGATAAGGGATCTAATGGATAATGTGTCCTGGGCACTACACTTATGGTGTTGCTGGGTTCCTCCAATGCCCCATATATTTGTGGTCGTGGGCCCTGGAGCATTGGGCCCCCCTGTCTGTTTTTTGGTAATGGAGTCCAATGTTTTCCTCCACGATATCGTGGGTAAACACCTGGTCCTTGTCCATTTTTTTTTCAAAAGAGAGAGACAGAGAGAGAAAGAGAGAGAGAAAGAGAGAGAATTTTTAAAATTTATTTTTTAGTTTTTGGTGGACACAACATTTTTGTTTGTATGTGGTGCTGAGGATCGAACCCGGGCTGCACGCATGCCAGGCGAGCGCGCTACCGCTTGAGCCACATCCCCAGCCCCACAATGAGCTATTTTTAAATTTTGAGATAGGGTCTTGCTAAATTGCCCAAGCTGGCCTGGAACTTGCAATCCTGGAACTTGCTCAGCTACACAGTCTTGGAATTACAGGCATCTGCCACCATGTCCACTCCATGATCTTCAAATTTTGATAACATAATAACACGAAAGTAAGGACTGGATCCTCTAACCAGGCTCGATGAAAGAAAATTTTCCCAACAGGAAATTCAGAAACCAGTAACTATTCCTGTTATAAAGTAGATTTAAATTTGAAGTAAATGGGCCCTATGAAAGTCTTTCCTGAAGGAGAAAGGTGGCAAGAATCAAACTGATATTAAATTCTGTATGTCTGAAAAGAGGAAAAAAATATCAAGGAGACTAGGTATATGGCTCAGTGGCAGAGCACTTCCCTAGCAAGGGCCTAGGTTCAATTCCAAGTACCACCAAAAAATAAAAAAAATAAAAAACGACCACCAACCACCACCAAAAAAACCACCTTATTAAGCACTAATTTTTCATTATTTTATTGCTTTTTTTTAATGTATGACTGTAGAATCCATTTTGATATGATTATACAAGCATGGAATATATCTTATTCTAATCAGGACCCCATTTTTGTGGATGTACATGGTGGTGAGAACACCATGGTAAATTCATACATGTACATAAAAAAATTATGTCAGATTCATCTCACTACCTTTTTTTTCCCTATCCCTTCTCCCTTCCCTTCATTCCTATTTGTCTAATCTACTGAAGTTCTATTCTACCCCCACCCCTTATTGTGGGTTAGCTTCTACATATCAATAAAAACATTTGACCTTTGGGGTTTTGGGGATTGGCTTATTTCACTTAGCATGATAGTCTCCAGGTCTATCCATTTACTGGTAAATGTCATAAAGTCATTCTTCTTAATAGCTAAGTAACACTCTATTGTGTATATATACACAAGACAATTTGTTAAGCATTAATATTAACTATTCTGTTAGATATAGTTATTTTAGTTCAAAGGACATAAATATAAATAGAAAATAGTTTAATGGTTGCTTAAGGTCAGTGAGAGATGGAGGAAGGAGTGGGCACTAACTGCTAATGGGCATGAGATTCTTTCTGGGTGATAAAAATGTTCTGAAATTAGATTGTGATGATGACTTTATAACTGTAAACTTTCTAAAAATAATGGAATTGTAAACTGCAATGGGTGAAATCATAGCACCAGATCTTTTCTTTTTCTTTTTTTTTAATATTTATTTTTTAGTTTTCAGCGGACACAACATCTTTGTTTGTGGTGCTGAGGATCGAACCTGGGCCGCACGCATGCCAGGCGAGCGTGCTACCGCTTGAGCCACATCCCCAGCCCAGATCTTTTCAATGAAATAGTTACAATCACCCAAACATTGAAACCTGTAAAGTTAGTTACGTAAAAGAAAACAAAATTAGGTGGATTTGTCGAATGGTATTACTTGCAAAATATTTATAAGTGATAACAACTCTTACCCATATTGGCCAATAACCCCGAAATTGCTTGAACATCAGCTCCAAGAAAGATTTCATTTAGAGTCGAAACTACTGGCAAACACAAAGTATGGACACGAATTCTTCTTTCACCTTTGGGAAAACACACAATAGTAAGGCACAACTATATACAAAAAAGATTATGTTAAACTCATTTCAACTTAACCAAGTAGGATTATAGGAAGCAGAGACCTATAAAAATTTTAGTTGGTGAAAATCAAAGCTTTTTTTCAACTATAAATTTTTTTTGTTCACATTATTACAAAATAGATAACAGGGATTGTATTTAAATGATAGTATGCTAGGGTTTTTTTTAATTTTTAAAAATTTTAATTTGTTATAAGTATGCTAGGTTTTTCTAAATCTCCTTTCTAAATTTTCTGGTTACTTCTTTTGCAATAAAATTTCTGAGTTAATATATATAAAACATCACTACTCTTGCTTGTTTTATAGTCTATTTTTTGACATTTTAGCCTATTTTTGACATTTAAAGTTTAGAAAAACTTTATACTTCTTAATCGCAGAAAGAAATTTTTGTATGTAAGTTGCATATGAAATGTAAATTTTGTTAAGGCTTGGACCCTACTTCCAGGATATTTCATTATGTATATGCAAATATATCCACATTTGAAAAAAATTCTAAATCAAAACCACTTCTAGTCCTAAGCATTTGAGATAAGAGATGCTCAACCTGTATATGATTCCATTTTTTGACACTCCTGCAAGACAAAACTCTCAGTGGTTACCAGAGGCTGGGGATGGGAGAGAGAGAATGGTTACAAAAGCAAAGGGTGATGCTGGGAATGATGGAAGCAATTATGACTTTATTATGGTGATAGTTACATGACACACTTGTCAAAACTTGCGAATTTTACATTCAAAATGGTTCATTCAACTGAACTAGTGGTGCACACATGTAATTCCAGCTACTTGTGAAGCCGAGGCAGAATCATGAGTTTGAGTCTAGCCTGGGTAACTTAGTGAGACCCAAAGAGTTTAATACCAGTTTGAATCTTGCCACCTTTCTCCTTCAGGATCTCACTAAGTTGCACAGGATAGACTCAAAATAAAATTAAAAAGGGCCAGTGATGTAGCTCACAGGTAGAACACTCGCCTAGCATACTTGAGGCCCTGGGTTCAATCCCCAGCACTGCAAACAAACAAGTGACATCAACACAAACCAACCAAAAACAAAAGAAAAAGGTGCATTTAGTTGTGGAGTAACTCAGGAACAGGGTATGTGCTTAGCATGCACAAAAGCCATGGGTTTGATCCTGGGTACCACCGAAAAAATAAAACAAAATAAAAATAATTGTCTTTTACCATATATCAGTTATACATTTTTACAATGAACAGAAAAGGGACTGAGCTGGGTTTTTTGTCAAATAAAAAAATGGTACCTAGAGACAGAAATCCATCTTACTTTACATTTATAGTGTGTCATATTAATTATAATCATACAGAACATTCCTCTTAAAGGTTTTTATTAAAGTGTCCTTACTTCATACTTTCCATAAATTTTGGAGGGGCTATAAAGATTGAATACATATAACACAGAAAGTCTCCTCCAAAATTAAGGAGAACGTTAACAGACGTTAGGAGTAAAAAATCTTTAAAATAAAAAAGCAAATTAACATGCCCCACATCAGATTAGGTTAAAACACAAATTACAAATTAATTAGGAACAAATAAATCACAACTTAAAAAGTGTTTTCTGGTGGTCAAGTGTCATAGTATGTACCTGTAATGCCAGCTAGTTGTGAGGCTGAGGTGGGAGGATTACTTGAGCCCAGAAGTTTGAGGCCAACTTGGGAAATATAGCAAGACCCCATCTCAAAGGAAAAAAAAGCCAAGTGTGGTGATGCACAACTGTAATCCCAGTGACAGGAGGATCACAAATTAGAGGCAAGCCTCAGCAACTGAGTGACACTTGTCTTAAAAATAAAATAAAATAAAAAGGGCTGGGGTTATAACTCAGTGGTAGAGCACCCTTGGTCCAATTTTCAGTGCCACACACACACACACAAAAAAGTGTTTTATCATCAGTTTTTTCAAAACTTAACTCAAATATCACTTCTGTGAGAACTTTCCTGTCTACTCTATCTTGAAAGAAAAACTGTTATTTATCCTTTTTACTATCTAATTGCCTATTAGAATTAGGTTATATAAAGGAATTTTTCAACTGAAAAACCAGTGTTTAATACATAGGAGATTCTCAATAAACATCCGTGAAATAAATGAATAAATAAAATCGTTTAGAAAGCCTGGTTTGGTGGCACACACCTGTAATCCCAGCAACTCGGGACGCTGAGGCAAGAGGATAGCAAGTTCAAATCCAGCCTCAGCAAAAGTGAGGTGCCAAGCAACTCAGTGAGACCTGTCTTTAAATAAAATACAAAAGGGCTGGGGTTGTGGCTCAGTGGTAGAGTGCCTGTCTAGCACGTGTGAGGCCATGGGTTCGATCCTCAGCACCACATAAAAATAAATAAAATTTAAAAAAATTTAAAAAAAAATAAATAAAATACAAAAAAGGGTTGGGGGTGTGGCTCAGTGGCTGGGTGCTCCTGAGTTCAATCTCCAGTACCAAAATAAAATAGAATGAAACAAAATCATTCAGAAAACTAAAGCCAAACACGTTGGCTTTACCAACATAGCTCTTATGATTGGGAATACTCTTTTGGCTTAAAAAAAAAAAAACCTCCCTCGGGGCTGGGGATGTGGCTCAAGTGGTACGCACATACATGAGGCACTGGGTTCGATTTTCAGCACCACATAAAAATAAAATAAAGATATTGTGTCCACCTAAAACTAAAAAATATTTTTTTAAGAAAAAAACCTCCCTCCAAAGAAAAGTTTATTATAGGCCACAGAGTACCACATCAAAAAACTTTAATATAATATTATGCATACAGTTAACAATATTCTCTCTTAAGAGGATAGAGCTCATGGTTTTTACGATAATTAAAGCAAACAAAAAATATACCTTTGCTTGATGTGTACAAGAGTGCTGACTGAAAAGAAACCAATTGAGTGTCAGTAAGACTTTCTTCTACTGACATCTGTACTGCATACCCAGCATCAGGATTGACATTGGGCAAAGAGAGTAAGTCTGTTGACCTAACGAAGAAGTTCCCATGGAAAGTATGAATGGAAAGACCTAAAAGAGAAAAAAAAAATTATCAAGATGACTTTTATATATCTATATGTGGATATTTACATTTTACCCTAATCATTTATTAGACAGTAAAAAAGTTCAATAATACACAGTATTGAATGAGGTTGAGGAGTAATAAGTGTCATCGTTGCTGTCATCTTTTTTTTGTACTGGGCTTTGAATCCAGCGGTGCTTAACTACTAAGCCACACCCACAGCCCTTTTTATTTTTTATTTTGTGACAGGGTCTCATTAAGTAGCTGAGGGTCTTGCTAAATTGCTAAGGCTGGCCTTGAGCTCATTCTCCTGTCTCAGGTTCCTGAGTCATTGGGATTTACAAATATGTGCCACCACACTTCTTAAATTAGAGTGAGGATACAAATTTTCAAAAACTATTAGAGAACAATTTGGTAGTATTTATGAAAATTTTAAATGAATACTTATTTCGACTTTAGCAATCTCTTGTTTTTATTTGTCCTATAGACTCATTCAAGTGCCAAATTTCTATGTATAAAATAATTTTAAGGGGATATAGCTCAGTTGGTAGAGTGCTTGCCTTGCATGCACAAGGCCCTGGGTTCAATCTCCAGCACCACACACACACACACACACACACACACAAAAAAAATAATAATAATAATAATAATTTTAAACAGACCGATGTGTAATAGCAAAAAAATTTTAAAATAGTTATGGGTAGGAAAATAAATAAATTGTGATTTGTTCATTTTATTGAATACTGGAATGAGAGAAGTTTTATATGAATTAAAATTAATGGATTTTTAAAAAAATATTTTTTGTTGTTGATGGAGCTTTATTTTATTAGTATGTGGTGCTAAGGATCAAACCCAGTGCCTCACATATGCTAGGCAAGCACTCTTCCACTGAGCTAGAAAAAATTAATGGATTTTTAAGATTTATTGAGTAAGCATCCACTGCAGCAACTTGAGAGGCTGAGGCTGGAGGATTGCAAGTTTGAGGCAAGCCTTGGCAACTAAGCAAAAAAAAAAAAATATGGTGGGGGGGCTGATAATGAAGCTCAATG